TTTTGACCTCCAGAGGCCAGTGTAGTATATTTCGGGTCTCTCTCTTTCTCTGAAAGAATCACAAACCACTTTCTTAGCTTCGGAACTCAGTGGAAGATAGGAAATCTTTGATGGTTTCCAGGGAAGCTTAGGGATCTGAGGTACATAGCAGAGATACTCTCTGTAGGGAGTCCCTCTACAAAATGAAATCCAGACCGGCCTGCTGGGTGAGGTGAAAGGAAACAGGATTCAGCAGCCGAAGAACAGCCTGAGCTCTGACCACTTTTTCCTCTCTGTGCCTCAGTTTCCTGAGAATTGAGATAAAACCGAATACCTGCCTCCACAAGTTGTTGTTTCCTTGGTTGTAAAAAGTTGTCAAGCTTTTCTAACGAAATAGAGCCCAGGAGCAGCGGCTAGATTAGCAGGATCTCCCTGACTTAGACCGTGTGGTCTCGGTGATTCTCTTTCCGTTCCCGGAACTCACTTTCGTCCTCATCTATAGCGTTCTTTTCTGCATCCATGGATTCAGTCTATGTTAACGTTGGCAGGGCTGGCCAGCCTTTGGAGCCCAGCTCAGAAACTCAGAGAGCTGTGCAGCTCTCTGCTGCCCTCTGCAGACTTCTTTCATCTCTTGTCGTCCCCCCCCCCCCCCCCCCCCCGCCCCCACGCTCCCCCATTCCCCGCCTACCTCACCCTTCTCTGGCTCAGTAGGCAGTAAACAACGCAATTGCTGAGGAAGAAACGAGTTCGCTGGTGTCCTGACTTTGGCATCATTGGGGCAGACATCCCAGAAGCACAGTTATTGAACAATGTTCTTTTCTTCAGTAGAGTCACCTTTAAAATGAATGTAAAAATGCCAGCTCCTTGCTGGGGGCGTGGCTCATTGGAAGAGGTCTTAAGAGGTCTTATTTGGCAAGATAAGCCCATGGATCAATCTCTAACGCTACCTCCCCCCGCCCAAAAAAGCCGTGACCTCACGAGGTCACAATCAATACTCGCTGCCGCCTGTAATGATCTGATGGAGTCATTCAATAAGTGGGCCAGGCAAAATGAGAACTCAGGCCTCTGGAACCCTATTTCCTGGTCATCTGGGAAAAAAAAAAAGACAAAATTCTATTTTACTTGTTGCTTTGGTCCTTCAGTTTCCAGTCCATATAACCATTATGTGTGGGACAGGAAGGAGTACTTTGATGGAGGAGGGTGACTCATTCATCAGGATGGTAGCTCTCTGGTTCACAGACTCCAACTCAGCTCTATTTTAAATATTTTTGTAGAGTTTTTGGTGGGTGGGGTGTGGAAATAGTGGAGAAGGCCCAGTCACGGGGTTGAAAGAGAGATGCTGACTGCAAAAATAGGCACGGACGCCCACGTGAGGCTCCAGGTACCCACTGCCCATCTATGGTCTCATATAGATTATATGCCAGCATGCTTGGTTTATTTGGTGCTGGGGATTAATCCCAGGCAGACAGGCAGGCTGAGGTCAACGGTAGAGGGCTTGCTAACATGAACAAGGCCTTGGAGCAGTGGCTTTCAACCCGTGGGTCACGACCCCTTTGAGTCAGTTTCTGACAATGAAGATACATCCAGCATATCAGATATTTACATTAAGATTTATAGCCCGGCAGTGTTGGCTCATGCCTTTAATCCCAGCACTCGGGAGGTGGAGGCAAGTGGATTTCTGTGAGTTCAAGACCAGCCTGGGCCGGGTTGTCGTGGCACACGCCTTTAATCCCAGCACTTGGGAGGCAGAGGCAGGCGGATCTCTGTGAGTTCGAGATCAGCCTGGTCTACAAGAGCTAGTTCCAGGACAGGCTCCAAAACCACAGAGAAACCCTGTCTCAAAAAAACCAAAAAAAAAAAAAAAAAAAAAAACCCCCAAAAAAAAGACCAGCCTGGTCTACAAAATGAGTTGCAAGACAGCCAATACTGTTTCAGAGAAACCCTGTCTTGAAAAACAAGACAACAAAAAGATGCATAACAGTGAGCTCATGGACCCTGGACTAACAACTAGGGAGCCTGCATGGCACTGACCTAGGCCCTCTGCATGTGGGTGACAGTTGTGTAGCTTGATCTGTTTACCAGTGGGATCAGGATCTGTTTCTGGTGCATGAACTAGCTTTTTGGAACCTGTTTCCCACGAAGGGTTGCCTAGCCTAGCCTTGATGTAGGGGCAGGAGCTTGGTCTTGCTTCAGCTTGATATGCCATACTTTGTTGACTTCCACGGGAAGCCTGTCCCTTTCTGAACAGAGGAGGAATAGATGGGGGCAGTGTGGATAGACGGGAGGTAGGGGAAGGGAACAGGAAGAGAGAAAGGAGGGGAAACTGGTTAGTATGTAAAATAAATGAAAACATTTAATAAAAAGAGATTTATAACAGTAGCAAACTGACAGTTATGAAGCAGCAATGAAAATAATTTTATGGTTGGGGGTCACCACAACACTAGGAACTGTATTAAAGGGTCACAGCGTTAGGAAGGTTTAGGACCACTGCCCTAGAGTGGCCTTCCAGAAGAAAGAAAACTGAAACCTTTTTTTTTTTTGAACTCCTTCTCTACCCAACCGTCACCCCTATCTCCATCCCTGCTGGAGGCAAGAGGAAGGCTCTCTTTCAAGTGGGATGTGGCTGTGTTGTCCATCTGCTATCCATCATGTCATCTGTCATCTTCAGTGAGATGGAGCAACAGCATCAGCACAGTAGTTCTCTGGCCCTGCTGGCTCATGCTGTGCTCAACAGTGCTTGGCTGGTGGACCTCCTCCAAGCTTACAAATCCCTGGCCTACAGTAGGCAGCGGGGATCTCGGTAGGGTAGCCTTGCCAAATAGGCAGCAGGTCTTCTCTGGAGCCGCTGGCCCGGGTTCCCGATGACTGAGCAGGACTCTCATTAGCCGCAGCTCCGCCCCCCTTCGGCAGGATCAATTATTGATGGCATGCCAGTGCAACCTCCCAGCAATTGTCTGCAGCCTGTACCAGGAGAAAGACCGAGTGCAGCGAACCTGTTAGTGAGGGGATACCCAGTAAGGTGGTCCAGTGTTCTACTCTGCATCATCAGAGGCCCAGAACACCTATAGGTCAGGGATGTCTTCCCTGGTGAGGGAAGGAACCCCAGGTCTGTTTTGCCTCTCAGATCCAACCACTATTATGTGTTCCAGAAGGCTAGGACTAGACAGGCTGAGTAAAAAGCCTTTTCCACAACAGCGTAGGAAGCTCCCTCCACCTGGGGCACAGGCTCAGACAGGTAGCTGGTGGCTCTGAATGTCACTGATGCATTGGACTACAAGGAGGAACGAAAGGACCCGTGCTCCCTGGATGGGGCCAGTGTGATGGCTGTACTTCTGTCTGCCATCAGCTTCTCTCAGGGGAAGGCCTAACATATGGGAAGTGACATGTGAGGCCATAGCAGATGGCAAAGGAGCCCAGGAGTCTCTGGGGAGCCCTGTCTCAGGGCAATATCTGAAGTCAGCCCAGGGCCCATCCAGACTCACTTCTTATTCAGAGGCGGGGCTCCCTAGCATTCCTGTCAACATGCCACTGTCTCACAGGGCTTAGAGCTATGTGTGCACAGAGCTATTTCTTGTTCCCAGCCTACAGTTTTGTGGAGTCACATTCCTCAGTGAGTACTGTGTGGACTGAGGGATTAATAGCTGGAAAAATTTGTAAATGGAGACTGTTCATCTCCCAGCCACCCAGACCCGAATAATCACACAGAAACTATATTAATTACAACATTGACCAATGGCTCAGGCGTATTCCTAGCTAGCTCTTACATCTTAAATTAATCCACTTATATCCATCTATGTATAACCAAGAGACTGTGGCTTACCGGTAAGGTTCTGGCGTCTGTCTCCTTGGGCAGCTACATGGTGTCTCCCAGACTCTGCCTTCTTTCTCCCTGCATTCAGTTTAGTTTTCCGGCCTACCTGTAGTTTGCCCTGCCATATGCCAAAGCAGCTTCTTTATAAACCAGTAGTAATAAAACATATTCACAGCATACAGAGGGGAATCCCACATCAAAAATTCTGAAAGCAGGCTCAAGAAACTCCTGAATAATTAGTATGCTCTATGCCTGTAAATCCCAGCACTTGGGAGGCAGAGACTGGAGATACTTTTAGTTTGAGGCTGGCCTAAATCACACAATGGGTCAATCTATCTGTCTGTCTTAAACACACACATGTGCACGCACACATATGGGGGGAGGAGACAGAGAGTTAACTATATGACTATAACCAATCCTGTCTACCTCTATATTCAGATACCTAGGTGTTAGGTGACCATAGTTCTAGCTTAAGGCATCCTGGGTTCCTCTAGAAAATTAAGTTTATCTGGGAATGGTCTCTATCCCCTAGGCTATAGTGTTGTGGCTGGATCCTGTGGCCTCCTCCAGGCCACTGAGGCTCATAACAGGACCAGGAAGGTAGAGGCAAGCATCCAGGACAAGATTGGCTGTTCCAATCATTGTGGAGCCCGAATCACCACCACTGCGTGACTGGGGGAACATTGCACCCAGACTCAGGGAACAGGCTATGCTGGGGTAAGACTTGGTGGGAAGTCTAAGCAGGGGTGGGTGAGTTGTCAATGCAAATAAATCCTTTTCCAGGTCATACTTGAGTGAGAGGCCACTCCAAACACTTGCCTGGATCAAATGTGTGGGAGTCTGAAGGGTAGGGCTACTAGGTCCTGGGCCCTGGTTCTGCTGGGACCAGACACAAAGCTCAAGCATGGCAGAGGAGGAAGTGCTTAATAAATGCTAATCTACAGGCACATGGGTGCAGGAGGAAGAGCCACTTGCTGGTTCCCAGTTGCCCAGCTAGCTTAGCCCCGAAATAATCACACAGAAACTGTATTAATTAAATCACTGCTTGGCCCATTAGCTCTAGCTTCTTATTGGCTAACTCTTACGTATTAATTTTACCCATTTTTATTAATCTATATATCACCACGAGGTCGTGGCCTACCAGCAAAGTTTTAACATGTCTATCTCCGGTGGTGGCTCCATGGCATCTCTCTGACTCCGCCCTTCTTTCTCCCAGCATCCAGTTCTCTCTTATCCGCCTACCTAAGCTCTGCCCTTCTATAGGTCCCAAGCAGTTTCTTTATTCATCAATGGTATTCAAGCATACAGAGGGAAATCCCACATCACATGGGTGTATGCAAAGCAGTGTACTTGTAGCTCTGGAGCTCATGACGGGAAACCCTCTGCATCACTCCGCTAGGTCCTGGAAGGACAGGGAGGCATCAGGTCACCACTGCCATCTACTTCCACTCTGTGAAGCCTTAGGCTACACCCGCTAGACCCAGACCTCCCAAACGCAACAACAATGTGGCCTGTGTGTCTTGGGGGACCTGGGTAGGGGCCACAATTCAGCGGAGTCTGCCCAGCCCCTTTGGAAATCCTATAGTGCTACGGGTGAGAGCTAACAGCAGCGGGACACGAACCAGCTGACCAGTAGATAAGGAAGTCAAATGAACTTCAGTTTAGCCACACTAAGGAAACGGTATGTTTTGCTAAAGTATGGGAAGGCTTGGCACACACCCACCATGAGAGATCGGGGCAGATCACTGGGCAGGTAGCCCAGCAGGCAGTGTGCACTGTACAAGGGCACTCTGGAGAAACAAGTCAGAAGGGGCGGGGAAGGACAGCGCAGAAGGAATTTTATCAACTGTTAGCCAGGTTCACTTCGAAGAGTACAACTGACTTTCAGGCAGAAGTATTTCTGTTTACATGCTAACCACCTAGTTTAACACCAAACACATAATTCTTTTAAAGAGACGCTTAACCTACTTTTTTCAAATAAAAGAGCTTGAGTCAAATGCGACTCTGTGTCTCCCAAGAGCTCCGGCACTTGGGGGCGGTGCAAGCTCAAGGCCTGCCTAGTATTCCTGGTGACACCTTGTTTTAGCGAGGGGGGGGGGGGAGAGAAGGGGACAGGAAGGGAGGATGGAGCTACAGTAAAGCTAGTGAATGTTGGTGTTGAACAGGAAAATACGCCACTGTTCTCGGGTGTTTGGCCATTGCTGAGTTAATGAACACTCACAGAAATGCATGGTATGCCAGGCACTTAGAAAAGGGCACTGACCAACACGGCTGCCTGCAGATGTTTACCATTCTTGAGAGCAGGTGTTCCTAGATCTGGTGGTACCTGCCTGTAGTCCCAGCACTTGGGAGATGGAGGGCAAATCAAATCCAAGGTCAGACACAGCTACACACAGAGCTGGAGGCCAGCATGGGCTATGTGAGAACCTGAGAGCCTGTATTGGGTGGGGGCAGGGGGAGAGAAGCAGCGCCTAGGAGTGCCAGCTGTGCCCACCTTCTTATGGCAGGAGTGAGACAATATTGCACAGGTCTGGACCCAGCTATAGGAATACAGAGTGGGTGAGGAGTTGGGAAGACCCTGGACCCAAGTAGGAGCGTCATGCTGGAGGGGGTTAGACATACTAGAGTCTGCATGTACGTCCCAAGTTCTCCAGAGATATGTAGACCACTGCCAAAGTCCCGAGAGATACACAGGTCAGCTGGAGAGACACACGGTAGGTAAGCAGGGATGGGCATAGATGGCAGCACAGGGCAGCATCAGGCTCGGGATGTAGAATGAGATCCAGATGGACTCCATGCAATTGTTATTTCTCAGCATAGTCAAGACGATTTGTCTTCTGATGGGCCGGAGGTCTCCCTTCTCATCCACTGACCATGGGGAATCTCAGAGATGGAGGCAGGACTCTGCTGAGGGGGCCAAATGGACTTTTCCATTGTGCTTAACAGTGGAGATCCAGAGTCCTGGAATTCTGTGGCCGAGGGACAGCGGATATCTAGGGCTGAAGCTAGAAGACCTAGACCTCCGTGTCTTCTTGATGAGAGGACTCCCAGGTGGGATGGCAGGTGAGTTTTACTGACAAGTCTTGCTGTTAGAATCGGAGATGGGGGTCAGAGGCCTCCTCTAGGGTCAGTAGGGAGAACTCTAGGGTGACTTCAGATAAGAGTGGGTAAGGGATGGGGCGAGCCCTGAGTGTCCTGAGTTTACAGTCGTGAAGCCTCTTGAGACCACAGTTACTCTGTACAGAAGGTTCGCCCCAGTACCTGCCCCCCAACAACCAGCCAGACAGTATTGGGCCCCACACCCAGTGGGGCTGTGCCAAAGAGAAATGGCTGAGCCCCCGAGACACAGGCCTTCTCCAGCTTGAAGGCAGATCTACCACAGAGCTTGGGCTCCACATCACCCCATGCCCGAACAGGGAGGAGATGGCTCTGATGTGGGCCCCAGCTAACAGCAGCCCAGGCCAGGTGGCCTCTTGTTCTCCTGGGTCTTGGGTACCTCTATTCCTACAAAGACAGGAAAGTAAGATGGCAGCGGCCAGGCATCCTACAGCTGATACTGGGCAAAGACTACTCTACCTGGTAACTGGGGCCCTAAACTTGGTCCTCTGGGCCTGTCCTCCAAAGCCTAGATGACCTGCTGTGGGAGGGTCCCAAGGGACATTTGGGATTGTGGCATTCAGGTAAGTGGGAGGCAAGACACATATGACAATCAGGAGCCTAAGCCTGGCCCAAGAGGAGGCTGTGTGGAGATCAGGGAGGCTGGGGCAGGTGGGGTCATGGATGCCATAGGCCTGAGATACGATAACAGCCCAGAGGTCCCAGAGGACAGCAAGGGTGGCAAACTGGGAATGGGGGGTGTGGTCCCCATGCTGCTCCTCAGCCCTACCCAGCCCTCTATGTACGTACGGATTAGGTCTCCATCTCCATCTCCGACCTGGGACTGGCTGCTGGGCCTCTTCTCTAGGTCCTGGAGTACAGACTGCTCAAATGCTAGGGCGGCCACACGGCTGAAGAATGCCGTCACGTTCTCTCCTGGGGACCAAAAGGTGCTCTCAGATGCATTATGGGCAAGAGCTAGGAAAGGCCATCCTTAAGCTGGCTGTGACCCTTTCAGAGCACTCCTGATGGCCAGTTACTGGTCCATCCACGGTGGCAGCAGGTAACCTCGCTTTCTGTTGGGCTCTGGTCCCCATCCCTACCCTGTTGCCGCCACCCACCCTGCTCCCAGGCTACTCCCTTAACCTCTGAGCCTTCCTTCCCCAGCACCTTCCCTCTCAATCAGTTGCTGTTGGAAAGCTGCACAATCTGGGAGAAGCAGGACTTGACCGTGTGCCTTCTCTTTAGGAGCTACCCATGTGCTGTTGGCCCTTACATGGAATCTGTGTGCATCCATCTATAAGTCCCAGTACCCAACATGAACATTGCCCATGCGCAGCCACAACCTGTGCAACTGTGCAGAGTAACTCCCCTTGCCCTACAGTGGGACTCCAGTGGCCCTGCTGTGGCTGTGGTCAAGGAGGGTGGTGCTCTGGGGGAGGTGGGCACCACTGCTGAGAAAGAGCAGCAGACGGGTCCGAGCATGGGCACTACCAGGTGTTTGTGGTGGCCTGGATGTGGCACTTCAAGTTTCAATCCATACCCAGTCTGTGACCAGATACACAGTCTCTGTGTACTGGAGGCAAGGGCTACAGCCCTGATTTCTGCGTTCTCACAGCCCTGGAATCTCTCGGGTGCCAGATGCTGCACGCCCTTTCATTTCCTCCCGGCAAGAGCCTGGTTTTACAACTTCGCTCTTTATACTTCTGCATCCTGCAGTCTTTTAATAATACATGCATGTGGGGTGCACTACTCACCGGTTTTGGCTGACACAGACCAGTACTCTGCCTGCATCTCATTGGCCAGGTGCACAGCCTCTGCTTCGGCTTGCTCACATGCTGCCTCCGACTGGAAGAAACGGCCCTGGCTGACCCTGTATCTTGACCTTCACTGCAGGGAGTCCCTAAAGTGGCCACCTGCCTCTCGCCTTTGCTTCTCACTTCACCTCAAGCAAATGGTATGGTGGGGTGTCCCAGTGCAGGGATGCCCCCAGTGCAGGGATGCCCGCAGTGCAGAGATACCCCAAGTACAGAGATGCCCCCAGTGCAGGGATACCCCCCAGTGCAGGGATGACCCCAGTGCAGGGATGCTACTTGCCTAGGGCTAATACTTTAGTGTCCCCAGGGAAACCTGAGTCATCCCCGCCTCCTGGAAGGGGGGCATGGGAGTTTGAGTACTCTCTTCAATTCCGAAGCCTGCTTTGAAGTCTAACACGAGGCAGCATGCCAGTGTTGTTCACTGCTTCTCAAAAGTGGGCTGCGAACATGGGCACTTTCCAGAAGTCCCTCAGGGTTGGGCCTCCAGCCTCCCTCTGCTTACCAGGAGATCCTTCTTGGTTCCCACGAGGAAGAGGAAGCAAGAGCCTGCCTCATTCTCCCTCAGTGCATCATCCAGCCACTGCCTAGAATGTACAGAGCAGACGCAAGAGACTTGTAGACAGCCAGGAGGTACAGGGAAGGTACCCTGACCTACATGCCTAGGTGGGATGCTGGTGCTGAAGCCAGAAGGGCCTCAGTGGGACCAGAAGGATCTGGGACTACAAAGGCACTGGTGTAGGAGAAGTGAAGACTCCTGTTGTGAGAACTAGGTGATTTCTGCCCTTTATCAGCTGGAAAAATCATCCCTGTCTCCCCATAGGGCCTGGAAGATGCTGATGTGAATGGCCCAGGCAAACATAGGGAGAAGGGGCTTTGGTCCATGAGGTGGATTATTTCAGGAAGATGATGGCCCTCTAAAAGTGATCATTTGCCCTCATCTCTGCCCAATGAAAACTTTCTGTCAGGGAGGATGAGCTATGAGGTTATCCAGAGCCAAGGTAAAGGTGAACAGAGGGGTCCCTCATTCAAAAAGGTTTCCAATATGGTGGCGGCAGGCTTATCAAAGACAACGGTGGCCTGTCAGCTTGAGCTCCTGCGCAGCAGCTGGGGAGAGGTCTTTAGGGGTAAGTGGGAACCTGGACAGTAAGTACCCATCATTCTGGGTCCAGCCAGAGGCTGGGGTTTGGGGAGCCCTCCTAGGCAGCTTCTTGAGTCCAGGTGATACACAGACATACACACAGAGCGGGTAGAACCTGAGGTTACTTGCCTGGTGTGCTCCAGCGTCTGCACATTGGTGAGGTCAAAGGCTGTGATGATCACTGGATACAGGGAAAGACAACAGCCAATCAGCAACAGATGTGGTGGGGGCAGCTACCCTAGGCATCTTCCCAGATCACAAGGAACTACCGGGGTGGGGCACTGTGGAAACTAGTGAGGAGTCACCCTGTGTTGGCCCCCTTGAACCTGCATTCCCACCAGCACCCCCAACTCCCCCACCCACCAAAATCTGTACCTAGCAGCACAGGGTGGAGGGGAGGGAGGCACAATGAAAGGCCTGAAGCACGTGGGCTCTGGTGGGAGATTTTCTGCCACTTGTGGTCCAATGGGCTTGGGTGAGAGTTTAACTGTGGAGAGCTGCCTTCCTCGTCTCTACAGTGGTGAGAATGGTACCCCTAGCAGTCAGCAGGGACGCTGTTTTGAAAAGCTGTTGGTCCAGGGCCTGAACCCGGGTAGACTTTTCATTGAAGGATACGGACTAGCAACAACCAGTTAAAGAAAATGGCTTTTGTGGCGCCACGTGGGCAGCAAACTGTCAGGTATCTCTGGGGTCAGCTCTGGGGTCAGCTCCTTTTATCCTGAGTCTGCCCTGGATTCTACACACAGGAGGATGGTCCAGGCAGAGGTCTGCTCTCTGCTGCCCTACTGGGAGAAAGCCTGGACGAGGGCTTTCTGGGCACTTTGTGGCTGATGATAATCCTACTGGTGATGGGCATGGTGAGTACTGTTTACAAAAGTATTCCAGGCAACCTCACACCACTTGCTCCAGGGAGGCAGCAGCCCCTCAGAAAGAAAGGTTAGGAGAGGGGATAGCTATAGGAGGCCACCGTGTATGTGGCCGAACTGGAGGTCCCACCCACAGCTCAGGGACACATAGCTTATATCCTGTTCTCCCTTCTTTAAACTGCAATGGAACTGCAGGGATTCTCATAACACCACCAAGAAGACATAACTTTGAGCCTGGTTTGGGGTCCTTCTGATGGTTTCCCAACCTCCTACTAGATTCTACTTCTGTCTCCTTCCTCGGGACTTCACATTGCCACCTCTGCTGACTTTGAGCCCTGCTCAGTCCCCAGCTGCTGCCCCTGGCCATGTTGGCAGTGGGTACTGAGGTCCCAATGTGGGACCTGCCAGCTCTGCTGGGTCCACCTGTCTCTCCTTGCTGGCCTAGTCCCCTCTGGCTAAGACAGGAAAAGCCTCTCCTCATCTTCACCTGAAATATGAGGGCATCTCTCTTTTCTGAGACTCTTAAACAAGAATTATTTTTTCATGTTGAAAACTGGGGCTGAGCCTGCACCTGATACTTCAGATTCCCTAGAGTGTGACTGTCAAAGCCAGCCGGGGTCTAGTCGTCTAAGCAGCGTCTCTATCCCTAAGCAGTGGTTACAGTGCTCTCCCAGTGGCTCCTGGAGCCCAGCACAGCACAGCACAGCACAGCACAGCAGTGTGTGTGTGGATGATGCAGGCTGAGAGCGCCAGCGTCATTGGGCTGCTCACCTTGGGCACCGCGGTAGTAGGCAGACGCAATACACTTGAACTTCTCCTGCCCAGCTGTATCCCAGCTGTGAGGGGAAGAGGAAGACAGGAAAGCAGTGGGGGCAGGTTACACAGCCCCAGGATTCCAAGGCAATGGAACAGTGAGATCATAGGACAATCATCAGGTCTACACCAACATGCCATTCGCACGTAAACAGCAGGAAGTGCCTGGGTGATCCAGCTCTCCCTGACCCCAGCTCCCTGCAATCCCCACTGGGCTCTTTCCTTGGATCACAGTGCCCATAGGAGAGAGGGTCTAACACTGCGGATTGCCTTGTCCAGGTAAAGTTACAGCTCTGACAAAGTTATAGCCCTTCTGACTGTGACATTACAAAGGAACTTATGTTCTCTAACAGGACAATTCTGGGGTTCCAGGACAGGCCTTCAACATATGTGTGACCTGGACACCCCTTTACCTTCTGCACAGTAGCTCCCCATGTGAGGAACGGGGCTAGCAGGGGTACCGTTTGCATTGTGTGGGCAACTGATCAGTTAGCTCTGGCTTTCTGAAACAATTTCTGAGAAGGAACTAGAAGTTGAGCCCCAGACCCACAGAAAAGGAATGGGACAGCAGATTAATAATTCCTGCCACGGGTACAAGACGGAAGCAGAAAAGGAGACATGCTGAGACCCTGCTTGTACGGGTTGAAAACAGATTGTCAGTATGCAGGGATGGTCCTGACATCCAATCTACAATCCATCAATTTTTTAAGTCAACAGATCAACATTTAATTTTTCTCGGTAAACAAGTATGGTATCAGTAATCTGAATTTGTTTTCGAGCAATTCAGCATAATGAAGACTCGTGAGCTATATTCCTTCACTAATTCATTCTTTTTTTCATCTCTAAAGAAGCCTCTAGTTGGTGAATGGCATAGATTAAGCCAGGCAGGTGGCTGGCAATGGCCTCAAGATCCCGAGTCTATGACAAGGCAGTGCCCATTTTACATTGGGCCCTCTAATTAGAGATTGCCTGGAGCCACAGTGAGAGCCTGGTTGCTGGCCACTGTCTGTACAGCTCCACCCTTTGCTCCTCTCAGCCTTCCAGAACCCACAGTCACGAAGCCCTGGGATTTCCATAGCGTCTCTTGCTCTGAACCCTGTGCTCACCCTTGGACAGGATGTGTTATCATCCGGCTCCAGGATTCTACTGGGGCACTGTGTCTATGGAGATGGCAGCTGACATAGGAGTGGAGGGCTCAGCCTAGGCGGGGCACAGAGGAATAAAGACTAAAGCCATGGAGGAAGACAGGGACAGGGACTAGAACAAAAGCTTGGTGAATGTCAGTCACAGTGACAGCTAAACAAGATGGCAGGGAGGAGGAAGGGGGGCCTTGCCAGGGAGCACGGGGGTCTGGGAGCTGGGTAAGCCTGAAGCACCTTCTGGGGAGTGGGGAGAATGAGGTCCAAAACACACAGCACTTATACCGGGGTGGAAGAAGGTGAACCTTGGGAAGGCCTTGCACTGATGTCAGGGCAAGTGAAAGGGGTGGGGAGTGGGGGCAGAAAGGAGTGGGAGGCAAAAGCAGGGGCGGGGTTAGTAGAGAAGATAGACTGGGTGGGGGAGAACAATATGGGCAGAGCGGGAACACATATCCAGAGGGACATGACAGGAGAATGGAGGACATCAGGCTTGAGAAAGGGGTGAGGGCAGGGTGGCCTCCAGGACCCTACTCATCCACTGCTGGCATAAAAGAAGTGACTTTGTCCTATTTTGTAGCTGAGAATAGAGAACAGAGCTCAGGAAAAAAATGCCAGAGGCAATTTTTGGGAGAGCACAGGAGGGCCAACTGGGGAAGAAGGCTGAACCTTAGTAATAAGTTTTCCGGGGAGGAGAGTGGATGGAAGTGCGGGTTGGGCTGTCAAGACCACCCCTCCCCCCATCTGCAGACCCATGGGAGGATGGAGAGAGACTCTAGGGACCCATAAACCACGAAGCCTGGTTTCTCACAACCACCCAGGGCCGTGCTTGTCCAGACACATCCTTGTCGAGCACCGTAAAACACAGAGGAAAAGGATCTGGCTGAGGTCTTGCCCCAGGGGAAATCTCCAAACCACATTAACAGAGACTTACATCTGGAGGCTGTAGGGAATCCCCGCGATCTCAAAGCGCTCGATTTCAAAGTCCACCCCAATAGTGGCCTTGTAATCACGGTCGAAAACATTCTTGCACAACCTGTGGGAGGTGAGGAAGTCATCAGAGGACCCCTCGCAAAAATGGAGGGAGGTGCTCACAGCAGTGCAAGTCTGCAGGAAAGAAGATCCCCCAGCAGGGAATCCATAAGTGATGGAGGCTGGGTGTGGCTGGTGGCGCACGCCTCTAATCCCAGCACTAAGGAGGCAGAGGCAGTGGGATCTCTGTGAGTCTGAGGTCAGCCTGGTCTACACAGGGAGTTCTGGCCCAGCCAGGGCTAAAAAATGAGACTGTCTTAAAAAACAAAAATGCAGCAAGCCAAGTGATGGTGCACAGGGCTGTGGGGTACGGTTTTCCATTGCCTGGACAACGTCCTGAGAGGATGGCAACCGATGAAGAGAAGCTCATGGGGCTTGTAGCTCTAGAAGTTCCAGGGCATGACTGACTTAGTGATGTTGCTTTAACTAGTGGTGAGGTTTCATCATGGTGATAGCATATAACTGAGCAAAAACAAAACAAAACCCCAAAACAACAACAACAACAACAAAAGTCTCTCATAGCTAGGAAGCAAAAAAGGGAATGAGTTGGGGTACACCATTTGCTTCAGGTGTACACCCCAAATGACCTAACTACCTCCTACAAGGCTCTCCCTCTTAGGCAAGGGTACAATGAGAACTCGGCGCTGGAGGTGGGGCTGGCTTGACCGCGTGAGGAGCGTAGCAGAACTTACCTGTGAATGAGGCTAGTCTTCCCCACATAGAGGTCGCCAACTACCACCACCTTGGAGAGCTTGAGCCTGGAGGAAACATGGCCGTCTCACCCTGGAGAATGGCGTCAACAGTGTCTTCAGCATATCCACGTCTTTCCTTCCCTGAACTGTCTGAATGAGCGATCCTTCAACCCTGCTAACTCTCTCCTCTCTCCCCAGTCCTGGGGAGTGGGAGAACTTATGTTTGTTTTGAGACTCTGCTCCCCCCATGGCTATACCCTTGACCCCACTTGGTCCCCACATGGGCAAAGTCACTGTACTGAGAATTAGCAACGGGGGCATGAGGAGAGTCTGAGCCATATGCTGAGGGGCAGGGAAGAGGGCGTAGGGAGAACTGTGAAAACCATCATCAGGTGAATGCACACTGGTGGCGGGTGCGGCACTGGAACCGTGGACAAGGGACCCACGTGCAGGAGATGCTGCTGCAAGGCATGTGTCCTGTATGCCAGCTTCCACATCCCTCTAGGATGTGCACCTGTGTGGGGTCAGTTCCTTCCAAGCAGGGTTTATACATCTGGGTTTGCAGTTTGAGGGGCAGATTGGCCCTGGGATTCTTGGGCTACTTGGGGACACTGCTCACCAAGAGCAGCTCCTGCCTTCCCTCTGTATGGGACAGTGGCATCTCTGAGACCGCTGATCAGACTCCTCAGAGTTTCCAGGCAGGTGAGATGGCTTCGTGGGTAACAGTGCTTGCCACCAGGCCTGATGACATGAGTCCCCAAGACCTATCTGGTGGAAGGAGGGACCTGATTCTTATATCTGCACACATGTCATGCACATCCTCTCACCCCACCAAATTAATACAAAGATTTCGGCAAATCTTCCTGAAAAGTCCTCAATGCTTAAACTGACCATCTTGGGAAACATCTGGCGGCACTTCCCGTGTTTGCAGACTCAAGAGGGCACTCATGTTGGTTGATGGCTGGATGTTTGGTTTATATCTCTGCATCAGTCAGGGCTGGGGTTATGTCTGCCCTGCTCCCAGGCAGCCTTCTCATTCTAAAACAGGCCAGCCTTGATTCTGTGTCTGAGGAGTAAGGAACTACTAGGACTGTAGTGAGTGCTCTCAGTGCCTCAGTTTCCCTCCCTCTGGTGGCACTGTGTAGGGTCAAGTAGATAATCTGCATGAAGAGCCTGATATGAAATAGCAACCCCGGGGTAAAGCTGCTACTTTTACCCCTCAAGCCACCAACAGCAGTTCTGGCCTGAGCTCTGCCTCCCTTGGTGCAGCCTTGGGGACCTCTGAGATGGGCTCTCTGATCTCACTCCATCCCTATGACCTCTGTGAACTAAGCCTCGGGCTGGCTATGGTCTGCTCAGGAAGAAAGGGAGTAGGCTTTTGTACCTGATAGAAGGAGGAAGACCTACTACAAAGTCCCCTTGTCGGTGGACAGTTGCTGCTGAGGCAGAAACAGGGCAGACACAGCCAGACCTGGCTTTCAGGTCTGGGTAGGAAATACAGAAAAGCCTATAGCTCCATGACAGATGATTATGGAGATCTGTGGGGAATCCTGCTGAAGAGGCGGAGGAAGAATTAATTGCATGGGACTAACCTGGGCCCTCTGCATATATGTGTAACTTGGACTTCTTCTGGGACACCTAACTGTGGGAGCAGGGTCTGTCTGACTCTTTAGCCTGCTTCTGGGATGCTACTCCTCATAATGGGTTGCCTTATCCAGCCTTAATACAAGGGGAGGTGCCTAGTCTTCCTGCAACTTGATATGCCATGTTTTGTGGCTATCTATGGGAGGCCCACCCTTTTCTGAATAGAAACAGAGGGGGAGTGGAAGAGGGTGGGATAGAGGGGAGGTGGGGGAAGGGGCTGGGAGGAAAGGAAGGAAGGAAAACTGTGGTCAGGATGCAAAACAAACAAACAAACAAACAAACAAAAAGATTTTAGATTTCCAGAGCACAGAAGAAGGGTCCTATGGAAAGACTGGGCCAGGGGCAGGGACAGTAGGTGGTCAGAGAAGTCTCCCAGAGGCTCTGGCATACAGAAACCTGAAGGGATGAGAGGAAGATAGCTGGTCCAGACAGGGAGGAAATGGACCTGCGCTGAAACGTCCCTTCAGCTGAAAAGTCATCTTTCTGACATTCTGAGAAGCAGGGAAGTTGTTTGTACAGAAGAGTTAGATGACAGCCCCCCTAATAAGCGGCATGGGTTCAGCCTGTGTATTCAGCTCGTTCAGTTTTCACTGACGCCGGCCTCTGTGCTTCTCTTCCTCCATCTTCCGCATCCTTGTCCCATGGGCTTACCCAGCAGTGCCCGTGTTCCTGTGCTGGCAGGCAGTGCTGACCTGGCTGTGGAAGTGCTCCTTGAGCTGCAGGCAGGCATCAGATGTGTACCACTGGGAAAGACAGACAGACAGACATGCAGGCAAGCAAGCAGACCATCCTGCGATGCAGCATCTCGGTAACACAAACTGGGCATCAAGGGTGAGACCTACTTCCTAACCCTCATTCTCTCCCGAAACGTGAGGCCTGCAGCCTCCTTAACGCTCCTCGGTCCCAGCAATGCCACAGGCTGTGGGTTAGGAAGTGCGAGCCGGTTTCTCAGACAAGGAAACCGAGGCACAGAGAATCAAGAGAAAGAACTCGCCCCAGGAAGCACCACGCTGACCCAGCCTGATGTGGTTAATAAGTCTGCAGGTCTGGAGTGGCTCTGGGATGCAGGACAGACATGGCCAGCTGTAGCCTTGTGACCCTGACTGCTGTAGGTAGAGGGCTGTAGGGGAAGCTCATTTTCTTCCCTGGGCAGACTCCCTTGCCAGGGCATCTGGGTCAAATCTTAGCTCCACCATGCCCAAGTGTGTTGATGTCAAGCAGTTTTCCCTGCCTCTCTGGGGCTCAATGTCCTACTCTGTGAATTGTGTCTTTTGTCCCAGGAGACTGGGCCTGCCCCTCCTGCCTACCCTCCCCCACTGATTAAACTTCCTTTCTCTTCAACTCATGAGACACCAGCCTGAATCATCCCTGGTTACCATGGTTACACTCCATTGGGAAAGCAATGGCCCAAGCTCACTAATAAAAAACTGGGGGACCTCTCCAAGATCTGAGGCACAAAGGCGTTCTCTGTCAATGTCTGAGAAAGGAGTTAGAGGAAAAGATGAAGGAAGGGGACGAAGCAATGACTGCAGGCGGAAACACCCACAGCTTACAGTCACCTCCTTCCTCCTTCCTAGCTTTGGTGCAGAATCCAAGACACAAAAAATCTCCCTTCACACCTGTTCAAGCCACGCAGAAGCAACGATGGGCAACAGGGTTACAATGGTTTGAAAGAAAACGGTCCCTAAAGGGAGTGGCACTATTAGGAGGTTCGGACTTGTCGGTGTGGGTGTGGCCATGTTTGAGGAAGTTTGTCACTGCAGAGGTGGGCTTTGAGGGTTCATATACGCTGAAGATACCACCCAGTGTTTCAGACCACTTCCTGTGGCCTACAGGCCAAAATGTGGGACACTTACCTACCTCCCCAACACCATGTCTGCCTACAGATGGCCCACTGTGATGATAATGGGCTGAACCTCTGAGCTGTAAGGGAGCCACCACGATTAAATATTTTCCTTTATAAGAGTACTGTGGTCACAGTGTCTCTTCACAGCAATAGAAACCCAAACTAAGACAAGGGTCTTTCCTCTTTCTTTTACTGAAAATAATGCGTCCTGATTATGGTTTTCCCTCCTCCTTCTCCTCCCACTTCCTGCCCACTTACCCTCCCATCTGGATCCATACCCTTTCTGTATGGATCAAACAGACATCTAAGGAATAACAATAAATAGAAAACAAACAAATCAGAGTGCGACAAGATAATTAAACAAGAAAAGGGGCTAAATAAAAAGCACAGGAAACACATACAGAACCAGAGACACACGTATTCACACATACAGGAATCCCACAAAAACTCCAAACTGGAAGTCCTAACATATACACAGCAGACCTGTAAGGTAGAAAGAAAAGAAAAGGCCCTGACTTAACATTCTGAGACAAAGAACCTTTGTCCAAAGACGCCACTGAGTTAGGTCTCTGTTGGCCATCTACTGCTGGGCATGGGGCCTACCCTTAAGAGTGGTTTGTTTCCCCGGGGAGACTCCCTGGGAGAAAACCAGTTGTTCATTTGCTAGCGGCTATCCATGCATAACAGAATCTTAATGTTACCTTTCGGAAATATTTTCTGCATGTACTAACAAACAGACAACCCCTTCCCAGCCCCCCGCCCCTTTTCCAGTGATGGCGGGGACTGAACCAAATGTTCCAGCAATGCACACACTTGATTACAGCTCCATGGTTTGCATTCTACCTAACGACTTTCTTTGTTCCTCCTCAGCACTGGAAGAGGTGCCTCATGCACCTGTCCATATCGAGGAGCCGCATCCCTACCGGTCTCTCTGTGGATGCTGATGCTGGCTTTGTGCTCTTAACAGCTGCCGGCAATGCCTGACCTTTCCCGTCCTCTCTGTTCATGCCAGGACAGCCACAGAAATGAATTTCTAGGGGTGGGATGGCTCCGTAATGGGCAAAGGCATTTGTAGTTTGGGTAAATATGGTTCCACTGTCCCCCAAGAACGGTTATTTCGCATTCCTCACTGCCGTTAATATGAGACTGTCATACAGATTGGAGTTTTCACAGAAAGGAAAGACAAAATGGCAATGGAGAAAGCTCTGGATCGGGATCAGAAATTAGGACATCAGGGGCTGGAGAGATGGCTCAGAGGTTAAGAGCATTGCCTGCTCTTCCAAAGGTCCTGAGTTCAATTCCCAGCAACCACATGGTGGCTCACAACCATCTGTAATGAGGTCTGGTGCCCTCTTCTGGCCTGCAGACATACACACAGACAGAATATTGTATACATAATAAATAAAATAAAAAAAAAAGGATGGGTCTTGTTACATGGTCCAGGCTGTCTCCCAAGTGCTGGAACTACAGATGTGATCCGCTACACCTGTGTGCTCTTCTCTCTCTCTCTCTCTCTCTCTCTCTCTCTCTCTCCATCCCTCCTTCCCTCTCTCCTGCAGTACTAGGGATAAAACTTAGGGTTTTGTTCCTGCCAGGCAAATGCTCTCCCACTAAGTTACATTCCCATCCTCCGGAGAGCTAGTAATAACAATAAGGAATGCCATGACCTACCATGAGCATCAGCTCCAAGTCAAGTGTGGGTGACTTGCCTATGGTCACAGCTTAAAGACAGCATCAGGAGGTACAACAAGGGCTGCTTAAGTGGCTTACAACGTCCATGCCACACAGCTCCCTGTTGTCACTACCGGCCTGCTCAGAGGAACTTAACACCCAGCCTTCTGGATTCTCTGAAACAAGACCAGCCTCTGAGATTTGCTTTCTTGATTTCTGGGGGTGAAGGCATACTAACGAAGCTGGAAATGGCTGAAGGGTTACATCAGTAGTGGAGACGAAAAGGGCTGGGGACGGTGGTACACTCCTGCCATCCCAGCGCTGGAGGCAGGAGGATTGCACATTTAAGGCTAGTCTGGGACACTTTGTGAATTCCAGGCTTGTCCTGAACAGTCAAGACCTTTTGTCAAAGCAACCCAGACCCAGAGGAAACTAAAAGCAACAGCAAAGGTGTTCTCATGACGGTACCTTAGGGAAGCTGGTGATGATGCGGTCCTGGCTCACAGGGGGCCCCCAAGAGGTCCAAGAGGACCTCATTCTTCCAGTATTCTGTAGAATGAGTCAAGGGGAAAGAGTATTACGTAAATATGAGGTTTAGTTTCTGCTTAATGGCCCAGCAGATCAAAGCGGAACCGAGTATGCGAGCTGCCATATGATCAACGGAATTCTGATTGGACTAGTTTCCCAACAGAGCGAGAGCTGCACAGCAGTCAAAGGGGACCAGCCAACCTGAGCCGGCAAGAATAACCCTACAAAGTAAGTAACTCTGAACAACCCATTTGCCTTAATTGTTTCTTCTTCCCTTTCTTTTTTTGTCTATAAAACAAAACTCCTGGTCAGGTGTAGTAGTAACACGGGAATATACACTCTGCACTTGGGAAACAAGAGGCAGGAGGATGGTGAATTCCAGGGTGCTTGGGGAGACACAGTGAGAACCTGTCCTAAAAAGGCCCAAACCAAACAAAAACACTCATTTTGTTTTACACGATGAAGTGTTGCCCAATTCCAGGTTCAAAGTCAGTTATGACTAAATTTCTTACATTTGTATTTTGACAAGAATTGCAAAGCCATAGAAGTCCTCAAAACGCACCTGTGAGTTTCATCATCACTTTTCATCACGTTAAAAACACATCTCGGCCTCCATCCCTATGAGCAATATTAGGCAGAGCTCATTCAATCTGTAGGGTTCACAGTGAAGGAGCAACCCATACCCCCACCTTGCCCAGAGGCAAGATGTGAGTGTCTAGGAAGAGGGGGCTCCTTCTCTGGGCTCACTTCCTTGACCTGAGGGAGGTATGAAAAAAAAAAAAAAACCTGGCTGTGGATCACAGCCTAGGTAGCGGAACTAGAGTGGGGAGCGGTCTCCTGCTCTTAGTGTGTTTTAAGATGGAGCTACCGAGTGGTATGCGGACTTTAGGTTCCGGTCCCTTTTACTGACGGTCCCCCACAACACCCAGAATCTGGTCCCTTAAAGGCTATTTGTCCTCCTCATCAGATCCGGCTCTCGCAGAGGCCTGGCCCGCAAGGGACCCTCAGTGAGGAAGAGCAGGCCTGCAGGCCGCACTCAGGTTTAGGGGTAGGAGGAAGGCCGGGGACAGGGAAGCCTTAGGACCATAACCTCCGGGACGCGCCCCCAGTCGGGAGGGTGAGTGGACTCACCAAAGCTGCAGAGACCAGCTTCCGGCGCGCGCGGGCTGCAGCAAATCACTACAGCAACGAGGGCCTCGCGGGACTGGCTCACAGCTCTCGAATCCCGACGTCGGGGGCGGGGTCTGGACCCTCCTCCAGGCCGTGGAAATTGGTGGCACAGGGCCAGCGCGGAGTCATCACCATAGCGACGAGAACCTCCCGGGGAGCAGAGCTCTGCACTGCCTGCTCAGAGACTTCCGGACTCCACTGGAGTGCCCAGGCTCACCATGACAACCAGGGCGCTGATGATCAGGCGGGACCAGTGGGTGGAGCCTGGTCTTTCGGGATGGAGTCTGGGTGGGGGTGAGCATGAAGGGGTTAGCTCGAGGTTTCCTCTGGCTATCTTGGTGGGCCGGGTAGTGACAGTCCCAGGAAAAGTATTCGTATTGGATTGAAGCCCGCGTCCCATCCAACACCCCCCCCCCCCTCCAGCAAGGGAAGGGTCCACCTCATGCCTACCATCTGCCTTACTGCATCAGTTTGAATTTAATACGATTTGGAAACCATGTGCCTGGCTTCTGGCACTCACGCTGAAAAATTAATTTCCTCCATTAATGGATGTTTAAAAAGCTGACTCAAGTTACTGGGCTCCTTCAAGCTAGTTTCTGTTGAGAAGCAAGGTGTGGGGTACAGGATGTATTCCAGAGGCATCAGAACTCTTTCCAGACACCCCCTACCCCCTCCAAGTCTCATTCCAAAAGATTTGCCTAGTGAGTTAGAAATCAATCGACTTGAACCCAGATTTTCTGACTCCCAGCCCAGGGGTGTTCACCACACGTTCCTGAAATAAAACTAGGGCAGTCTGGTTCAAGAGACCCTTTAGGACTCGATCCTCTGAAGGACAGCAGCAGGTAGACTTTTAAGTGTAGGATGGAACCCTTAGTAGATCTATTGCTGTCCTCTTTAATGCAACAGGACATGCCCTGGAGACTGATGCTTTTGCTTGATGTCTTGGTTAAGCAGTTTCATGGCTAAGGCTTCAGTCTCAAAGGGTCTTTACACCTCCAAACCTCAGTATACTCAGCTATTAAATGGCCCACCGGGGTCATTGTTAAGGCTTTCTTGTAAGGATGACATTGCTGGAGACTTGGGTGCTGCTTTTTTTTTTTTTTTTTTTTTTTTTAGCATAGATGCAATAGAAAGCAGACATGGGTATGTTCAGGTTTGGCAGGCAAGACTTTAAGGGGTCTATGGCTAGGGAGTGGAAGTGGAACGGGACTGACAGATCAGCCCCCCAACAAGACGAGACACCGGCCTGTATCTGTTTTCCAGGATGGGTAAGACGCAGGTGGTTGTCGCCATGCCGGCAGAGCTCAGTGCAGTGTCATTCAGAATTGTTTGTGGCAAGCCCTCATGTAGTCTAGGTGGACCTCAAATTTTCCATGATAATGGGCATGAACTCCTGATCCCGTTGCCCCCTTCAGCCATGTGATAGGATAATAGGCATGCACCATGTGCCAAGTGTCTTTATGTACTTAAGAACATGAGGGTGGGGGTGGTAACTATGGGACCTTAGGCGTTCAAGTCATAGCAGCTAATTAAAGATCAGGAAGGCAGAAATCCAGCTCCAAAAATCAACCTTCATGCAGGGACAGAAAGAATGTCACCGAAAAGGATAAGGCTGCCCCATCTTCTCATCCCCTCCCAGTTGTCCATCAGATGTCAACAGACCCCAGTGAGCAGTCTTCATCAAAAGGAGCCTTCAGATCCCTGAAAAGTAATCTAGACACTTGTTATTATAACCCATATCCAGAGGTGTTCTCCGCAGCAAGACAGTGGAAGACCATATTAAATATGTGATATTTAAACATCATCATTGACAGGATTTAGACTTACCCCTAGGGTAGACAGCTCTGAGTGTGTCTAGAAGGATGTTTCCAGAGAGGTTTGACTGCAAAGAGAATACCCACCATGAATAGGACTGGAGTACCAGTTGGGCACCAGCATTCACCACCCCTACCTGCTTCCTGTTCTATCAAGTTAGGAGAGGGGGAGGAGTCACAGCTGGGAGTTACCACACCCATTTTATCTTTCTCACCGTGATGGACTCCAATATATGAGATGAAATAAATAAATCCCTCAATTTTTTTTTGGTCAGGTTAATTGGTCATACCAACGAGAAAACTATCAACTTGTCCAAATATGCATCATTTTAGTCAATGAAGAACAAGGGAAACTAGAGGGTTTTCCTGGAGTTTGTGACCCAACTATAAATCAGCGATCCCCTTAGGCTGGCTCAGACAACCTTTTCACAGGGGTCACCTAAGTCTGTTGGAAAACACATATTTTACATTGTGATTCATAACACCAGCAAAATTAGTTATGAAGTAGGAACAGAAATGATTTTATGGCTGGGGGGGTGTCACCACACCATGAGGAACTGTGTTAAAGGGTCGCAGTGTTAGGAAGGTTGGGAACCACTGATATAAACTGTCTTTCCCAGGCTTGTGTTTGAAACGCTTGGTCCCCACCTGGTGGAAGCTTGAGACTATGGGGGGAACCAGGTCACTGGGGGCAAGCCCGTAGAAACCTGTTCTCCGTGGTATGCCCTTCCCCGTCTCCTGCTTCATGCGTCCCCACTGTCATAGTTTGCCAAGAGTCCACGGGCTGGACCTCCTTAAATTCTAAAGCAAACCAAAGCTGTTCTCAGCTCAAGCTGTTTCTGCATTCGGTGATCTGTGAACTGTAGAAGAGGCTTTTAAATTGTAACTCTTCATTCAAGACCATCAGCCACTCTGCATTTACACTTCTTGGTGTATGTCTGGCACAGAGAGACAATAAACAACAGGTACAGGCAAGTTCTTGCTATATTAGGGGTTTGGGTCTTATGGAGTCATGTCTATAGATGATAAGACAGGGTCTTGTTATATATTGTGTGTGTTTGAGTTTGTGCAAGGTTTTAGGATGTGTGTGTTTATGCAGTCCCCATATGTTGTGTGTATGTTAGGGAAGTTAGGCTGGGCCTGCTATATTGTGTGTAGCATGCTAGGCAGGATTTCAGCATGTTGTATGTATGTGGGAGGGGATCAGGTGGGGTCTGGCTATATTGCGTGTCTACCTCCCATGCAAAGGTAATAAAGAAATACACCACCACCTTCTATCTCAGGTTAGGGGTTTGGACTCAGGACAGAGTCCACTGGGGAGGCAAAGGGGGATGTTAAGCTGGTGCTGTTGGGGCAACCACTCCAGACAGTATGACAGAGTGATCGGCTTGCAGAAATGTGGGCCCTGACTAGGCAGTTCGGGGGACAGGTCTGTGTAATTGTAGGGGAAGCAATTGAATTTCTTTGAGAGTCTTAGCCTTATCATGCATGAAGTTACACCTTCTGAACTCTGATGACCCAAAGCATGCAAAGAACACTGGGAAGAGAAGTGTGTGTAAATCCTTTCCATTCCCATCGGTACCACAAAAGCGAGCTGTCTTTGTTTTACATAGTAACATTGTAAAATATTGTCTTTCCATTCCCGGCTGGGTTTAGCCTCAGGCTTTTTGCGCCTGCGCCTTGGCCCTCTAGGGGGATGACCAGGAAGCTGCAGATGCTGGCAGTCTCCTAGCAACCAGGTCGCCTGGGACTAGAATGAGCATTCTGACTGGCAGACACAAGGAGACAACAGGCACTAAAGCAAGTAAGGCAGCTGCAGCGGGTAGGTGCCCCGCACAGGGCACGGGGTGGGGGTGGGGGCTTCCTGACCTACCCAGTTCCGTTCACACGGGGCTCACGCCCCCACACGCTGGGTCTCGCCTTTTCATTGGCGGCCGGATTCTTGTAGTGGCGTCTGTGTGCCCCTTACAGGAGGGCAGCCCCTGTCTTGGAGACCATAATTTCCTGGAGTGGAGCCCATTTCAGAGATGGCTGCCACCTTCCCAGCCTGGCCCCTTTCCTCCCCTTGTGGAGTCTGGCTTGTCATTAACTTCAGAACCGAGTCCTGCTCCTGCCACTAAATGTAATATGATCAGGACAACAAACACAATATATTTCAAGTTCTTGTCAGCCAGGCTCCTGGGTCTCAGTTAAACGACAATGCTGGCAGGGCAAGAAGGAAGCACTCTTATTACCCAATTTCTCAAACTGCACAGACAACACACAGAAGGGGAACCCGTAGCCTAGGACTGTATCCCATTCCTAACCCCGAAGCCACGCTGCCTATAGTTGTTCAAAGAGTGACTGTGTGGGTATTGGGTGTGGGGAGATTATAATAAATCATCCTTTAACCTTCATCCCTTCTTGGGAATATGTCCTACGCATGTGAAAACATGTCTTTTACATGAAGGAGCAAGAAGTGTTTGAAAAACTTCTTTTTTTTCCTCAAGTCCTAGCCAACATATGTTTCCTTACTTCTAAATGTGAACGACTCTTTATTGAGTGGTTGAGTTAGATGCCAGTTAGGTACCAGTTAAGCAGGGACATCGAAGGAGAGACCATCTTGGGTTTTGCTTGGTTGGCCTCTGTTTTTCTTAGGCCTGTGACCAGTGTACTATCTATTAAGTATCTCAAGCAGTTCCTTCTGTCATTAAGGATGGAGATTTGCAGTTTGGGTTACTTACCTGAGCTGTGACCTTGAGATATCTCGTCAGCCTGTTTGCTTGTCTGTAAATTGAGGTGAGAGGATCCACCCATGTTTGTCTTCACAGGCAGTTTTGAGGCTGAGATGGCTGGCTTCTACACGATAACAGTAATAACAACAGGTTTTTATTTATTTTTTCTCTTATTGGTGGTTTCTACAGAGCTTCGCTTTCAAAGCCCTTTGGCAGGCGTGGAAAGATGGCTCATGCCCGGATCTCCATGTACATGCCTCCCGACATCGACCCCACGAAGGCTGCCATTGCTTATGGCTGTCGGGCCTTGCCCAAGCTTAATGAAGAGCTGCGATCAGAGACTCTCCTGACAAGGCAGAAAGCCCTAGTGGCTCTGTGTGACCTCATGCACGATCCTGAGTATGTCTATGAGGCCATCAACATAGGTGAGAGCGTCACACCCCAGCCGGTCACGACAGGGGTCCTGGTGGGGCTCAGACATAGGATGGCATTAGTGGAAGAGTTGCTACTTATTAAGCCTGATTTCAGGCCAGCAGTACCTTTAAGTGCAATATTACCTGCAAGAGAGAGAGAGAGCATTCTCAGTCTGCAGATATGAAAATCAGTGTTCAGGAGAGCAG